GTTATGATCATTTAAAATTTGGTAAATTTTTCCTAATTTTTCAGTGACGTACCGCTTTTTTTGCAGCTGAGTGTATTTACATAAAAAATAATTCAAAAAATAATTTTTACATTGTCTTTTAAACTGAAAGTCAAGTTTAAAGAAATGAGAAATATTATCGTATAATCGTATAATCATATACAAAGAATTCCCGTATAGTATAAGTGGTCACCTCTTCTTATATCGTAAATTAATAGAGATGGACTTAATAAATGTAATAAAATGTAATAAATTAAACGGTTCTAACATTATTGTAAACACAATGATCAATAAGAAATATTATCTTTTTGTTAAACAACAGAGAGATGTGCATAACTTTTGTAAAGTTACAATTTTTATATGATAGTAAGTCGTTCGTATAGCGTTCTTTCTAGTAGGGCTGTTACTTTTCACCTACTTCGAATATTCGAAGCTTCGAAAGACTTCGAAGCTTCGAAGTTAACTTCGACCTTTCGAAGTTTAAGGTACCTTCGAAGCTTCGAAGTTTCGAAAAATATATTCGTGCAAATGATGAATTTATTCAGAAAATTTACAAATATTTTAAATAAAATAATTTATATAAGTAGTAATATAAGGAGGATTCTGGACCAAATGTAGGTCAAGGTCAAGAGTGGGGGGAATGTAGGTCAAGGGGAAGGGGATGTAGGTCAAAAGGGTTAATCAAAGGGGTTAATTAATTTAATTAATAGATAATTAATCAATCAATTAATAGATAATCTATCGATTAATTGATAATTTATCGATTAATTAATAATTAATCAATCAATTAAATACCATTTTTTAATCTATCGATTAATTAATAATTAATTATGCTATTAAATGATAATTAATTAAGCAATTAAATAATAATTCATCAATTAATTGATAATTAATCAGACAATTAAATACCGTTTAATCAATCAATTAAATGGTATTTAATTAATCAATTTAATAATTAAGTTGTAATCAATTATTAACGATATTCTTTCTTGGTGGGGCCCGCGGGGGTCCGCCGCCACCACGTGGTCCACCGCCGCCGCCATTTTCGAGCGCAGCGCCACCACGTTAGCAGTGCCGGGCTCGCGAGGGTCCACCGCCACCACGTGGTCCGCCGCCGCCATTTTCGAGCGCAGCGCCACCACGTTGGCAGTGCCGCCATTTTGGTCAAAGGTTCACATTTTTTCTCAACCGCATGTTCTCTCTCTTTCCCACTCATTGGAAGGTTCACGTTCTCTCTCCCTCCCACCCGTTGGAATTTTTTTTTCTTCATCATGCAATAGAACGCTTTTTTAAATTTTAATTCTAAGGAAATAGGAACGAAAAGAATAATGTTTTAACATATGATGTATGTTTAATACACATTTTATTTATGTATCGCATCATACACAATATTATTAGAAGCATAAGCTATTAGTTCACAATCCACAGGTGAAGCTTTGTCGTATATTTTACACAAAATATTTATCGCATCATATTTATTCGCAATACAATTGTCGCGTATGTAGCTTACAAAATACTGATATTTTTCGTTTACGCAACAAATTTTTTGGCTTAATTCAAAGTACACATGCTTGATACAATGTTCAAGATCAAGCATGAATAACATAGTTGACGGCTTCATGTGCATACATGTATCGCGTAAAGTTAATTTTACAATATTCGACTCGTACATTTTTACAAGTTGTACGGTCAAATCGTGAATCTTTAGCGATGATGATGATGATACCTCAGCAGACTGCAAGTGTTGTTCGATGTCAGCACGTCTTTCGACAAACGCTTTCCAACCAGCATAAGGCAGAATTATTTGATTTCCTCGGTTGTCACCAATAAGCAGCTCTACAGATGACACAGGTCCCACGCTGATTCCAACATCAAGATATTTGTAAGCTGTTGTTGTCAAAGCGAATCTTCTTCCCAAAATATGAGGCGTATACCGAGGTCTCGAGGTATGAGACGAATTACTGTAAAAAGAATACATCTAAGTAACTGAAGACATATTTAAGAAATAAAAAAATTATATAAATACTTACGGTCTCTCACACAATTTATCCTCTTGAATTGAAACGTAGTAGTTCATGTTTCTCTTGTATATTTTTTTCTCACTGTTCAC